TGTGGGGCCTGAACTCTGGGCCTGGGTGCTGGCCCTCAGCTCTTCAGCTCAAGGCTAGCGTGCTACCACTTAAGCCTAGCACCACTTCCGGCTTTTTTTTTCCTGCTTATGTGGTACTGAGGCATCGAACCCAGGGCCTCATGCATTCAAGGCAAGCGCTCTACCACTGAGCCACCTTCCCAGTCCTTTTCAGTGGTTATATTATTATGAAAATGTAAATATTGTTTTGTTGCTGAGCCAAATAGTAAACTGTAATTTTATTTCTTTTATTGCCTTCTGTATTTCTTGAATTTCACACTGCTTTTGTTCTGATTTGCTAAGTTCTCCATGTGCTTAATTCTTTCCCATATCATTTAAAAACCTCTCAGGGAAATTTTCTACACAAAAAAATCAGATCATCTATCTGTTTCTATTTCTTTTTCCTAAGACCTCTGCTTTAAGCACCAGTCTCTGTGTGTTGCTCTCAGGGTCTTTTGTGCAGGCATAATCATGTCATGGTCATCCTGGATGCTCTCTGCCTCTTGAATTTCATCCTCAATTTCCTATATCTCTTTCCTGCTCTATTTATTTACTTCCTTATTTTGCAGGAGCGCATCATCTAATACCTTGAGAAAAAGTGAATGAGAGTTCAGTATTTTGAGACCTAATTGTGCAAATATGTTTTTACTACTGATTGATAATTTGAATATAGAATCATAGATGGAAAATCTTTTCCCTTCAGAAAATTGTCTTACAACTTCCATTGTTCATACTAGGTCTAATGCCATTTTATTCTCAATTGTTTATAATTGTTCTGATTTTTTTCCTTTGAATGCTTACTTCTAAACATAATTTCTGTGTATAGTTTTTAATTTTTTGTAGTATTGTTTGCTGCTGATCATGGAGCAATTATAGATTGGGGAGGGAGAACAGTTTGGCTACCTTCAAACTTGTGGCCCTCCTGCCTCAGCCTTCAAAATAGCTTAGATTTTCAAGAATACACCACTATACCTGGTTTAGATAGATATTTAGATGGTTTAGATATTCATAATCTGGAAATTTAGGCTTTCCAGGGGAATTTTGTTGAATTATTTTAATTTCCTTATCTTACTTCCTTTTTTTTGTTGTTGTTGTTGCTGGTGGTGGTGGTGGGGCCTGAACTTTGGGCCTGGCCTCAGCTCTTCAGCTCAAGGCTGGCACCCTACCACTTGAGCCACAACACCACTTCAGCTTTTTCTGCTTATGTGGTGCTGAGGAATCGAACCCAGGGCCTCATGCATGCGAGTTAAGTACTCTACCACTGAGCCAACTTCCTAGCGCCACCCCCTCCTGTTTTTTCTTTTAGTGCAAATACTCAGGGCCTTGCCCTCCTCAAGGCTGTTGCTCTACACTTGAACCACACTTCCACTTCCAGATTTTTTCTGGTTAATTGAGGATGAGAATCTCACAGACTTTTCTTCCCTGGGAGGGCTTTGTACCTTGACCCTCAAATCTCAGCTAGTAGCTAGGTTAGCTAGGATTATAGGCATGAGCATCTGGCAAACTTCCATTCTTCTTTACTTTGGAACCTTACATTAAGTGAATATTGGGCCTCCTGGATTGATACTATACATTTATTGTATTGTACATTTTTCTGTGTTTGATATTTGGTTGCTCATTCTGTAACATTTCATAGCCTCTGTCTTTCAAGTTTTTAATTCAATTTTTATTCTATCTTTGTTTTAATTTCCAAGTATACCTCCTTGTTGTCTGATAGCTTACTTTAAAGAAAGATATTGATGCCATATCTTTTTGAAGATTTAAACTAAAGAGTAATTATTTTCTTCTGTTTCTGGCATTGTTTTCTGTTCTTTATTTATTATCCTGTGAGCTTGAACATTTTTATTCCTTTACTGTGATTTCTATGGTTTAGAGACTAAGACTGTTACAGTTCTCCATGTTTAACTAGAAAGCCCTTACTATGTTTTTTTTTACTTCTTTAAAGTCACTGAAGACAATATCCAAGTCTGATGTCTCAATGGTAAATAAAGCTATGATGACTATATGGCTATATTGGCTTTTTTATTCATTTGGCTTTTATTTCGATTTGGCTTCTTTTGAATGAAAATCCTAAGTTTCTAAATTTTCAAAGTGATCCTTTTGGATGTGCAGTGGGTCTTTTGATTGTCTGTTTGTTTGTTTGGGTCGTGCTTGGTTTTGAACTCAAGGCCTCATGCTTGCCAGACAGGCAATATACCCATATTTCTTTTGCTATGCCTCGATTGGTCATCTGTCCTTGTGCTACTGGGATAGGCCCACTGTTAGTTTGTTGATCATTGCTGAACTCCATTTGTTAAATTTTTAGTGTACACACTATATATTCTTAGGAAGATTACCTTTTTATTTGCTATACAGCTGCCATCAGAAGTGACATCTGTGTTATACTGGCTCTTTCAGAAGAGTTTGGAAACTTTTTTCTTTATGTTCCAGAATAATTGAAATGGTATTGGGGAACATTAATTAAGATGACTAAATGCAACATGGCATCTTTGAATCCTGGAATAGAAAAGGAACAGTCGTGGTTAGATATAGTCTATAGCTTCTTGGTTAGTACTCTGTTGGGGTTCATTTCTCTCTTTTTTTGGTTCATTTCTTAATTTTGAAAAAAGTAGAAAGATTATGTAAGATGATAATATTAGGGAAAGCTTGAGCCAGGACTCCAATTTAGTACTGAGCTTATTTAGAAATGGAGTCTATGGAATTTTCTGCCTGGACTGGCTTCAAACTATGATCCTTCAGATCTCAGCCTCTTTAGTATCTAGAATTACATACATGAGCCACCAGAGCCTGGCTATCTTTTTAGTTATTTTCTCTTTTAGGGTCACCATAGTTTATATATTTTTAAAAAATTATCATCTGGATTTTCAAGTGCATCTTTGTAGCCTTGAGCAACACGATCTCTTATAATTCTTTTTTTATTTGCTATTTATCCATGCTTATATCCCAGTGTTGTATCTATTTTGGGTAGTTACTTATTGGGTTATAAAACCAATGTAGTGAGTTGAGATTAATTTTTGTTCTTGTTGATTGTGGGGCCTGAACTCTGGGCCTGGGAGCTGTCCCTCAGCTCTTCAGCTCAAGGCTAATGATGTACCACTTGAGCCACAGCACCACATCCGGCTTTTTCTGTTTATGTGGTGCTGAGGAATCAAACCCAGGACCTCATGCATGCGAGGCAAGTACTCTACCACTGAACCACCTTCCCAGCCTGAGACTAATATTTTTAAAAAGTGACAAGGTGTAGAAAATTAAAAAATATCCATACATATTGATTTATGAAACATTGATCACAAGCACATACATGGACATTTTTCCTAGGTAACTTGACAATATATATCATGCATAAATGCATGTAAATTTTGCCTTAGCAATATCATACATGGGACCCTTTCTAGACACATAATGGTATACATGAAGAAATGATATATGCATGATATAACTCATTGCAATATTTTTTATAGTAGCAAAAGATTGGCCATAAGCCAGATGTCTATCAAATGAGTCCTCTATTGTATGAGTACATTAAATTGCACTACTTTCATTCCAATGTAATAGTAATTGTCCACAAGAGTGACGAATGATTCCATGTACTGATGTGGAGAGATATCAAAGATATTGATTGTAAAGGGGGTAAAAAGAATAGTGTAGAGCAGTGTGTATAGTATGCTGCCTTTGAGTTAAGAAAAGGAAATATCAGGGTTGTGTTTGTTTTTACTTGTATCGACATAAGGAAACTTTGGAAGGAAGAAAGCTGGAGAATAGTAGGGGCTTGGGAGCTGGGCAGAGGGGGCAAGTCAAAATAGAAGGCAGATCTTTTATTGTATATGCCTTTTTATCTTACTGTGTTAAGGAACATTTAACATGAGAGCTCCTGCCTCATAAACATTTGTGTGTGTGTGTGTGTGTGTGTGTGTGTGTGTGTGTGTACATGTATGTATGTATTCCTGTACCATTAATGAAGCTTAAATTTGAGGCCCCAAGTTCTCATTTGGGTTTTTCCAGTCAAGGTTGGTGTTCTGCTATTTGAGCTGCGGCTCTACTTCTAGCTTTTTGATGATCGGAAATGTGTCTCACTGGATTTTCTGCCTGTGCTTGCTTTGAACTAAGATCCTCACATCTCAGCCTCCTGAGTAGCTAGGGTTAGAGGCATGAGCTAGTGGTGACCAGCTCTCTTCACAAAATTTTAAGTATACCCTTCAATAACTATGTGTCTTTTTAATGAGCTGGTGTTGAATTATACTAGTGAATTAGTGACCTATTCAAAACTTACATATAAAACATTGGACACAAAAACGCAGCATTTAGAACATGAGTAAGAATACGACTATACCTAGCTACCCAGGAGGCAGAGATCATAAGGTTGTTCCAGGTCAGCTTGGGCAAGAAATTAGCAAGACCCGATCTCCACAAACAAGCTGGATGTGGTGGTGCATATAAATTTGAGATATCTGTAATCCCACATTTATGGGAAGCAAAGGTAGGAGGATTGTGGTCCAAGGCTGGCCCTGGGTAAAAGGGAGACTCTGTCTGAAAACTAAAAGCTGGAGGTGTAGCTTAAGTGATAAAGCACCTGCATGCAAGTGTAAGACTCTAAGTTCAAACCCCAGTACTGCCAAAAAAAAGAAATAAAAGAAAAAAGAATGTTGCCATGTATCTTTACTTCCTGATGGAGATAAAACTGAATCATGATGTGCTGGGAGGCACAGGGGAGAGAAGCCATGTTTGTGGCTCACAGTGGATCACAGTTACAAAGTTGGAGAAGTTGTATCTTTTATATCCTCTCCTCCTGTGTATAAAAACAAAGCATTGTTTCAAGAGTATTCCAATTTTTTTTTATTTTTGGGGTGTGTGTGTGATTCAGATGGAAGTGAGCACTGTTTATTTGCTCAGCTGGTCTTAAAGAGGAGAAGCGCAGGACGGCATCATAGAATCTTCCTTAATTTTCCTTTGCTTCTTCTGAACTCTTTCTTCCTTTCAGGTAAATGGAAGAATTGGAGAACAGTTTACTCCAGACTGGGAAAGCACACCGCATAGAACAAATGGTGGCGCGCTGGCTGCGGCGCTCCCGAGATAGCTCGGCCCGGTAAGGCTCCTGGGCTCCGAAGATTCCCATCTGTTAAGCTGGTGTCCCTGGGGGAGGAGGTCCTGGCCTTGGTGGCACCTGGGGATGGCTGTCTATAGCTTGCTTTGTTCTAATGCCATGTGGTGGGGGACCTGGAAACAGGTCAGCAGTTGGGCTGGGATGCCCTCCCTCTCTCTTACCCAACAGACATTCACACATACACACATACCCTCTCATTTTAGCTGCTGTGAGTCCAGCAATCTGCTTGTCTCTCTCCTTTCCCCAGTCCTTGTGTTTCCAGCAGCCGACCCTTCTCCATAGTCCCTATTTCATTCTTAGCAAAACAAAATGAAATCAAATACAGATCTGATTTGACAGCTACAAGAGAACTTGAAAATATGCTCTGTTTCAATGCCTTCGTTTTCCATCTCAGATTTCCCATCTGGCCCTGCCCCCGGGATGAAATATCCCCTGTCAGGTGTTTCTGAGACACTCATTCTTCCAAAGGAACTGGAAACAGCTGTTCTCCTGCCCAGAGATAAAACGCTCACCAGCTAGCTTCTCTGAGAAGAGGCTGAGGTGAGCTAAGGCCGGAAGAATTAGCCTTGCTTTACCTGTGAAGCTCAGAGTGACTTGTTTAGGACCACCGTCATCTCTTTTCTTTTTGTGTGTGTATATGTGAAAATACCGTACAGAGGGGTTACAGTTACATGGGCAAGATAATGAGTGCATTTCTTATCAAGCATTGTTGCCTCCTCCTTTGTTTCCCCTTCCCATCCTTTCACATCTTCCCCCTCCCCCTCTCCCCGCGCCAAAGTTGTAAAGTTCATTTTTCAACATAATGATTTTCTTTCTCCTTGTGTTTGAACTCAGAGCCTTGTGCTTGCTTGGTAGAGACGTGACCAATTTGAACCATGTCCCAGCCCTTTATTACTTATTTTTCACATGGGATCTCGTGGGGTTTTTTTTGTCTGGTGTCTCTGCCTCAAGCTGGGCCACTACACTTGGCATTGGTGAAATGAGGTCTCAAGAACTTCTTCAGCCAGGCTGATTCTAATCTCAGTCCTTCTCCATGTCCACTTCCAATACTATTTCTTATAGAACAAAGTCTAAGTGTCTTTTGGTTTGACATTTCATTTGTCCATAATCCATCCCACAGTCCTTTAAGCTATTTATCTTACTATTCTGCTCAATTCCCAGGATGCTCAAATGAATACTCATTGTTGCCATGCTGCTGCACGGCAACATCTCCTTTGCCCCTTGGTCCTGGTCTGCTGTGCCTGATCCCCTCTCCATCCCCATGTGCCTAGAACCCACCCACAGCTAAAGCTCTGGCTCTTTAGAAAGTGTCACCCATTGCCCAGTCAGAGAAAAATCTCTCCCATGGAACTCCATGGGTTTGAATTAAAACATTGGTATATGCTCCAGCTTTCCTGAGCAGCCTTCTGTGAGTCCCAGAAGGTACTAGCTCATCTCTGTAGCCCAGAACTGAGTGGAGCATCCCAGGTGGTCAGGTAGGCTGATGGATGAATGGAAAAAAGTCACAGAGCATATTGTTTCCCAAAGTAGATTCTTCCAACCTAGTCCTGTATGATGCTGCTCCACCAAAAAAATGTTCCCTGCCCAGATGTGTTTGGGAAATAATTATCCTTGTATACTACCTATCTTGTGGATGCATTATGTGCATTACACCATGAATTAAAGACTCAGAAAAGTACTGTAGGAAATAGATTGTTTTGATTTGAGATTGCCAAACTATCTGACCTTGGTCCTTTCCTTTCCTTATTCATTCATGTTTTGTCATGAATCAATATTTTATTCCTTTTTACTGCTAAATATTCAATTGTGCCGGACGCTGGTGGCTCACACCTGTAATCCTAGCTACTCAGGAGGCTGAGATCTGAGGATCACAGTTCTAAGCCAACCCAGGCAGGAAAGTCTGTGAGCCTCTTATCTCCAAAAAGAACACTCAGAAAACTGGAAGTGGTACTGTGGCTCAAGTGGTAGAGTGCTAACCTTGAGCTGAAGAGCTGAGGGACAGCACCCAGGCCCAGAGTTCAAGCCCTACAACCAACAACAACAACGACAAAAATTCAATTGTACAATATTTTCTTTGTCCATTTCATCAGCTAATAAAACACAAATATTTGGGTTGACATATGAACTCAAAATATAATATATGCATGTTTATATGAAATAAACATTGGCTTATTTTTTCTTTTGTAACTATTATGAATAATAGTACCATGAACATGTGTAGAAGTGTTTGTTTGAACATATGCTTTCAGTTCTCCTGAGAATTTACTTAGCAGTAGAGTAGCTGCGTCATGTGGCAACTATGTTTATTTTCTAGAGAAATGTCAGACTACTTTCCTTTCTTCTTTCTTTCTTTCCTTCTTTCTTTCAGACCTCTCTGCATGTCTGGGCATATAGGCCCAGCATGGCATTTACTCTTCCCCATCCCAGCTAATTCTACACCCCTCAGTGGCCATTTCAAAACGCACAAGAGCTCCTGTCCCTCAGGCTAGCCCTCAGGTCAACCCCAACCCAAATCATTCAGTGGTTCAGCCACCATTGTGCCAAAGCCTACAAGTCCTTCAGGACCTAGTCTCAACCTCAGTCTCCAACCATACCTTGTTCTTCTTGCCTGTTTGCTCACTGTTCTCCACTATTTTCCTTCTACATTACTAATCAAGCTCTTTCCTATCTCAGGGACTTTCAGGTTGTTGCTCATTTAGTCTAGAACATTCTTTTTCTTCCTTGTTCTTCAGGTTCAGCATACAGGATAACATAGACACTGGTTTGTTTGTCCTTTGTTCCTTGCCCTGCCTGTTGCTGGCCCTTTTCTCCAACCTTCCTGCCATACATGAGACCCCAGTGTGTCCTTACTCCTGCCAGAGGGCACACTGGGTAATACATGATTAATACACATTTTTCATGCTTGTGCTAGGGCTTGAACTCAGGAAGCTGAGTAAAGCTTTTTGCTCAAGGCTAGTGTTCTACCTCTTAAGCCACACTCTACTTCCAGCTTTTGGAGATTAACTAGAGATAAAAATCTCATAGGCTTTCCTGACCAGGATGGCTTCAAATATGATCCTCCGATATCAGCCTCCTGAGTTCAAGCCCCAAGATCAGCACACACAAGAAAATATCTAACCTTTTCAACACTGTAGTTGTCATTTTTCCCCCATAATATTCTATCTCTGGTCCCAAGTGACTTGTCTAGTCATAAATTTGTAAAACAAAACAAAACTGTTTCTACTTCCAAACATTATTTAAAAATTGATAACTTCCATATATGTGGGATAATGTATCATTTATTTATTTATTTATTTATTATTGTGAAAATACCTTACAGAGGGGTTACAATTACATGGGCAAGGTAATGAGTACATTTCTTATCAAGCATTGTTGCCTCCTCCTTTGTTTCCTCTTTCCATCCCTTCCCATCCTGCGCCCCCCCCACTCTCCCACCCCCCTTCCCCTGGATAATGTATTTTAAGTGTTCTACTAGTAGGGTAGAGTGTTTTTAAAGCTGGTTTGAGTTCCTAAATTTTAACTAAAATTTCAGAGGTTGGAATTGTTACCAGTGTTAGTCACACTGAGGTGGTGGCACTTATTTGGCTGAATGTGCTTGAGCAGGTGAAAACCTAATGACCCCTATAATTATGGAAATGAGACACTATTCCAGTATGACGGACCCCTCCAGGACCATATAATTTTATATTGTGAGATGAAAATAACAGTTAAAGTACCAGTGTTCTTTTAGAAATAGTTAACCCTAGGTACCAGCAGTTGATACCTGTAATCCTAGCTATTCATGAGGCTGAGACCTGGAGGATTCACAATTCGAAACCAGATTGAGGGCGGGGTGGGGAGTCTGTTTAACTCTATCCCCAATTATCTGCAAAATGTTGGATTGAAGGTGTGGCTTAAGCAGTAGAGCACTAGCCATGAGTAAGTAAACCAAGCAAGCAAGAGGCCCTGAGTCCAACCTCTGATCAAAAGAGAGAAAGAAAGGAAGGAAAGATAGAAAACATTGATGTGCAACTTACTAGTTTTAAACAGTCTATATTTAGTTTATGGAGTTTATTTGAGTCTATGCTAAGAAATGAATATCTACCTTCAGGATTTTTTCTGAAATAGTAAGTAGTTGTCTGCATCACCATCACCTGGAAAGGGTCTTCCCTTCTTCCCAACCCTCCAATATAGTGGATGGCATTTCCTCATTCCCCAAGTGGGAAATTAAAGATTTGTTTCTATTCTATTGGTCTTATTGCCAATTTTATACAGCTGTGTCACAACTATTTACATTACTCCAGAATTATACATCTCATTACCTGTTAAAGTAGGCTTTCATTACACATTATTTTCTATATTTTTACTCTTACCCTCTTATTCTGCCATTTGAACTATAGAATAATTTGATTCCATTATTAAAGCAATTAAGCACGAAATTCTCTGAATTCTCTAATGCTTAATCTAAAAGTGTTAGCTCCAGATTTGCCAGAGCAAAATCTAAAGAAGCATAAGGAGCTTAATGCAATTTCACGCCTTCTTCATTATGGCTGGGTTTTATCCTGAGGGCTTAAAAAAAGATTTCTCTCAACTTGCATGTAAATGGTGATAAAGACACATGCACATGTCTTCACATGCCCTAACACAAGGCATATCTATGTTTCACATGTACACATTCACAAGTGTGCACAGACACACATTCATCTATGTACTCACACGTCGGTACATAATCTTACGACATCTTAGTGTCGGTCATTGCTGCTGGTATTTCATGTATTCCAAATTTACTCATTCATTTCAACTGTAAGTAGCCCACTTATCAATTATATACAGAAATGGCTTTATTGACCTTTTGAATATAATGGTTTTTAAAAAGCGTAGGTTTTTAAAAATTATTATTACTTCTTGACCTATGGACAAAAGTAGAAATTTTTGAGGAAAATAGTCTGGAAAATATCTGGAGATTATTTCTTAAATCATTGGGTTTTGTTTTTGTGTTTTTG